ATTCAAAAGGGTCCACACACTTTCTGAGGCCACAAACCGTTAGCCCACGTGGAGTTCCACTGGCACGAATGGAGTGGACCTGTTCACATGGAGCTCACTGGGGTTTGATTTGACAAAGATCGTAGACAAAACCAAACGATCGGGACACGCTAGCAAACCAGAGTCGTAAAAATAAAAACTAAAAATTTTAAATTTCACCCCAGCGTATTCAGTTTTTCGGTATTTTCTTCTTTTTACTCTCTGTAGCCCATAATCAGGGCGACCTCTGCATGAAATATTTATCAGTTGTAAATAGACCCAGTAGGTGGCAGTAATGACACTTAAAAGACTTAGAACTTCTGCTAAATACCAAAAAATAAAAAAGCGAGGTCTTAGATGGACTTTCAAAGTAAACACAAGACGCTAAGCGCTACCGTAACTTTTATACACCCCGTGCCATTTATTAGCTAGGTGCTAGGCGGCCAATGCTGTCGTCATCCTGTATCCAGCGGACGGTCGTCAACAGCCGTTCAGCGGTTGTTACTGTTTTTCTTTGTTTCTTCAAACATTGCAACAAATGTGTCGGAAAAAAAAAACAAGGTCAAAAAAAAGATAAGGACGAGAAAATGTCATGACATCATCTGCGAGTCCGGAAGTTTCCGTCAGCGTTGGACTCATGTCGTTTCTGAGACTCAGTTCTGACTGGAGTCAAACCGGAGTTGGTGTCGGTCCATGTACGGAACCAGAACTAGAACCAGAACGAGAACCGATCGGAATCACCACCAGTGTCAGGGAGTCTCGTCCAATCAAAGACCTGATGATAAATAATGATCACCGTTATCTTCCTCTTTTCCATCTGTGACAGATCCATTTTTCAAGTCTAGTGTTGGGGGGATTGAAGGGGGGCAAGGGGGTGGAATCACTATGGAGACAAACCCCACAGCACGTTAGCGGTGTCCAACCATGACAGTGTTACTTGTCATAGCTGTCGTGGCTGAAAGTGACAAACTAGCAGTGGGGATCAGGGGAAACCGGAGAAATGACTCGGACTTCGGGAGTTTTTTGTTTTTTTTTAACCTGTTTGACCAAAATAAACGTTTCCACTTCCTGTCTTCAAAGAAGAATTGTGTTTTGTTTTGGTTGATCTCTCCCTTTACACCGCAAACACAAGCGCGCGGAGGAACGGCATACCATAGGTTCGTACGACCCATCGTCATGGTGACCACCCTGAATCAACCCTGAATAATCACGTAGAGACAAAATCCTGAAAAACAAAAATCTTTTGTGTATTTCTGTACACGCCCGCCGTTGACCTCCGGTGCCCCGGAGCGGCCATATTGAATCTCACAATCGGGAAAATTGGGAAAGGAGACGTCGCACAGACTCACTGTCCAGTACGAAAGTGACGCGTTTACATGTTTACACTACACCACATGTCGTTAACAGATAGGGATGTAACGATACATCAAGAATTGACAAATGGCATCGATTTAAAAAAGGCAGTATGCGCCTAAAAACGTTGGTTGTGACCCCGCTATTAAGTCACTGGTCATACCATGACACTACACACTCTAGTTCAGTAGGTGGCAGTATTTACTAATAACACTGGTTGTAACCCTCTATCAAACCCAGACGTCAGGTCCCTACGTAGGCTAGGAGACATTCAGGTGTCGGAACAGAACGTGGGAAGAACTTGTTCTTTCCACTTCCTGTTTTTTCTCTTCTTCTTCTTCTGTTGTTGTTGTTGTTTCGTATATTGACAGTTAACCAGGTCAACCAGACCATTTCAGTCGGTGACAGGATTTGACCCAGTTCTGACGGAGAGAGGAGGTCAGTGTTGTTGTCGTTGTCTTCGTCGTATCCTGATCGTTACATTCTCTAAAAATTTCATTCAAACCTTTGAAGGTATCCCTCACCCCTGACCCTAACGCACTTCAGCCTCCCCCATTTGCGTAAGCCCCCCCCCCCCCCCGGGGGGGGGGGGGGATACCAACAGGAATGTCAGAGAGAACGAACTTCTTTACAGATTATCGGAAACCGCGATTACACACACACATGCACGACTCACTGTTTTGGAGTCCAACTCGTGCCTGGTTTGGGCCAAAACTTTGTCCACGCCGGCCTGGTCAACAAAGGTGACAAATCCGAACCCTCTGCAGACGTCAGAGAAGGGTGGCAAAGGGGACGGGGGGGGAGGAATGGAGGTGGTATTAATGACACAGAAACCAATGTTGACATGTAATGATATGTTATGAGCCGTAGAGGAATCACGGAGGTCGTATAAATTTTCAGGCCGCAGGGCTCCCTCACCTTGAGCGTTTGGTAACCGGATCTCTCATCACCATACACTCCTTCACCTCACCGTACTTACAGAAGTACTCCTTCAGCCCCTCTGGGCAAAAAAAAAAACAGAGAAGGAGGTGAAAATAAAACATAATCCGATGACTCAAGGGATTAGGCTAACATTTGAAATGAAAAGGTTTGGGAGGAGTTCAGAGTTTTTTTTTAAAGTACGTGCAGATACTTCAACTACGTTCGGATGAAATCTTGTAAAAATTTGTGAAAAAAAAATGTTTTATTTGAAGAAATCGTCGATCAATGTTGAAACAGATTTTTTTTAAACCAAAAAAGTCAAGGCCAAAAAAAAAAAAAAAACTTAACAGGAGGAAAAAAATACCAGCACAATAGTACAATTTAGTTAAAAATATTTTAAAAATAATCACATTTTCTGCCCGGAAATAAATTTTTTTTTTTTTTTTTTAAATTTAAACAAAAACCGTGAAAAAGTTTGGAGCTGAAAGTCACAGCAGGAAACTTTGATTTGATTTTTTTTTCACAAAATATTAAAAAAAAAAAAAAAAGGAAAAGTGAAAATTCCTGAATATCGTATTTCCCAGGTGTGTGATTGGCTGAGAAAAGGGATTCTAGGACAGACGCTATCGTGTGTGTATCATGTGCCGTGACAGGTCTGGTCCCCGGACCCAAAAAAAAAAAAAAAACCTGGACACGCCTGGGCTACAGGCGGAAACCTTTAGTCCCACAGAGAGTTCTTTCAGTGAGGAACCCAGTCCCTGGAGCAACAGTTCCTGACTGAAGCAACTCAGGAAAAAGTAAATTAAAAATTTAAAAAACACTGATTTATAGATAATAAATAATTAAAATTATTTGAAGGGATTTTTTTTTTCTTTTTTTAAAAATCACCAAATTTTAAATCTTGAATTTTTAACGGGACGAAATTTTAAACTAATGTCGTAAAGTTCCAAAAAAAACTTTCCGACACGAAGAAGTAGCATTTTATGACCAGGAGATAGAGTGACACACACACACACACACACACACACACACTCACCTTGTGTCGTCTGCCAGCTGAGTCCTCCAATGAACATCTTGCTGTGGAGAAGTAGGAAACAAAGTCAGATCATCATTAAAGGAACATTACGGAACTTTTTTTTTTAACTCCAGTTTTCACAGGTGAAAAAAAAAAGCTGCTGATGTGCGCGTGCGCGTGTCAACTTGAAAGCTCGCACAGTGTATCAGTGTTAAAGACTGTGTGTGTGTGTGTTTGTGTGTGTGTGTGTGTGTGTGTGTGTGTGGTCACGGTCCGCTCGCAGAATTACAGGTACGTGAACAACGGAGGTGCGAACGCGTAAAGAAACGTAAGAGTGAATGAAAAAAAGTTTGTTCCGTTTCCGTTACCAGGGGTCGTGGGGTGAGTCTGCCGTGGGCAGGCTGCTCTGGCTGCCTTCCGTCTCCATTCTGTGTGTTCTCTCTCTGTGAGTGAGTGAGTGTGTGTGAGAGGAGATGGGCGGGTTTGGTCCGGGGTGACAGAGGGGAGCGGGGCCAGATGCAGTTCGGGCAAACTCCTCCTCCACCATCACCTCCCACCCTCTCTTTCTCCCTCACCTCTCCGCCGTAGCCGTGCTCTCTCTCCCTCTCTCTGTCAGCCAGTCAAAGCGGACATCATCTGAAGTCTGTTTCCCGCCGTCGCTTTTCAAAGTAAAGCGCCGCCGAAAAAATATAACAAAACCTTAAAAAGTTTTCAAACTACAGTACATAAATATCTGGTGGTTCACGGGGAGGTTTTAAACCTTCGGGGGAGACGAATATTTCGGGAATATAATGTAATAATTGGCCAAAATCTGTGAGAACCGCTGGTTAGCAGCAGGTAGCTAAATGCTAAAAGCTAAACCGCCAAATAAAATAATAATAATAATAATCTTGAATAAACGTGTATCTTAACACGTTAAAACAAACATAAAAATCAGAACCGGAGTTTTATCTGAACGGCTCAGTATTTAGTATAAAATCTTGACGTAGGATTATAAACGGTATTATGCCCATTTGAATACAACGTACGTTTTTATGCCGTGTAGCGTACTTATATAAAATCACATCGTATTAAACATACAGTTAGCATCGCTACAAACCCCGAAGAAGAAGAAAAAAAATCGCAAAACTTTGTGACGAACCGTCAGCCATTATTTTGAAGGCAACTTCCGGTCATAGTCTGAATCATTTCGACCAACTCGACGTGTCTTTCTACCCCTAAAAGTTGAAAAAAGAAGAGACGACCCCCGTGTTGTGATTTCTTTATCACGAAACGCATCCGATAATTTATTTAGAAATATATTCACATTTTATTCTTAAAGGATGAAAGTCGGACGGTGACGAGCACGAAGTCTTTGAACTGAAAATAAAGTGGGGGTTTTTTCACATTATTTACTTTTCTGTTTCTTCACTTTTATAAAAATTTCGCGTGAAATTTAAGGACATTTTAAAAAACTCTTTCCGATAACGCGCTGAAAATTGTTGTGTTTTTATTTTTTTAAATATTCTTTTTTTTTTTTTTAACTTTTTCAACCCTCTGGATGAAGAGACGAGGCTGTGGAAGGGGGACG